ATATATATATATATGTTTTCAGTTTGTGTTTCTGCTTCATCTTTTTGACCTCATAGCAATTCCTTTTATGTTTTAACTGTTTTTCCTTCCATAGGTTCCCATGAAAATATTGTTGGATACTACTCGTCTTGGTTTGAAAATGAGCAGCTCTACATTCAGATGGAATTATGCGATCACAGCTTATCCATCAACAAGTTTTCCCGAACCTTCACAGAGGGAGAAATTTTGGAAACCTTGTTTCAGGTTTGTGTGTTTTTTTAATAAGATCTCACTTGAAAGTTGAAACTGAACAAGGTTCTAGCATTAAATCTATTACTAGATTGACTGCATTGCAGTGATCTGTTTTCACTACACTATAGGAGCCTCTGAACATTTACACATAAAAGAAGTAATGATAGACAGGGTTGCTAGGTCGGTAATCAGCTGTTTACCACTTTCTTTATCATGAAGACCTACATTCAATCGTTTATGTCAGGGGAATTTAGATTCCTCGTGATTCTTAATTACGCAAAACTAATAATATTTATGTGTTTGTGTTTGTGTTCTGTTTTCGTCACCAATTGAAGTATAAGTCCTTTCCTTGACACATGTGTGGTTTTTTTTAGATGCGCAGTAGCGGTGTTGATTTCAATCCCTTGATAATTTTAGATGTTCTGTTTTCCTACTTGAAGGAATGTCATGTTGCTATGTTAAACAAGATGGAATGGCTTTAATCTAATGAATGTCCCTACTCAAATTACAGACACTCACGCATGCATGCACACACACAGGAATTGACATAAATCTGAGGTCAAGATCCTATTTGGCAGGCCAAAATTTTCAAATTAATTTGTGTTCTTTTTAGCATGACAAGGTTTCTGCTTCTGTTGGCATATACTTATTTCTCATACAATCACATACACAGATTGCAAAGGCGTTGCAGTTTATACACAGGAAGGGAATAGCTCATTTAGATGTAAAACCTGATAATATATATGTCAAGAATGGTGTTTATAAGCTTGGTGACTTTGGATGTGCAACTCTACTTGATAAAAGCCTACCAATTGAAGAGGGTGATGCTCGATATATGCCTCAAGAAATCCTGAATGAGAAATATGACGATCTTGACAAGGCTGATATTTTCTCCTTGGGAGTTGCTATTTATGAGCTTATTAGAGGTTCACCTTTGCCCGAATCAGGACCTCAAATTTTAAATCTTAGGGAGGGAAAATTGCCACTCCTTCCTGGCCATTCACTGCAATTTCAGAACTTACTCAAGGTACTATAATTTTTTTGTTACCGTTTGTGGTTGGCTTTTCTTTTGTAACCGTGAAGTTGTGACTGTTTCACCTTTTTGTGTGCATTAGCCTGAAGTCTTATAAGAAACACTATTTTCTGTTTAGGTGTTTCTAAGTTATGAATTCATCCTTCACTAGGGGTTTGTATTGAGAAAAATGCATGAAATAATAATTTACTTCCTCCTCTTTTTAAATCTTGCAATGTGAAATCAAATTTTGTTTGATAATGAAAACTACCCCATTACTTTGTATGTACAATATCATTTCAATTGTAAATTGTAATTTGGTTTGCTGATAATTGCAAGCGGGAATGAGGTAGAAAGAAAATAATCCCTGAAATGTCCGCTTGCTACAATTAGTAAAAGGCTCTTCAGATGAAAAGGCCAGGACATTTTCATATGAAATCATACTAACAATGCTGTTGTCTGCGGCTCTCCATATCCATTGTTTGATTTCCCATGATATTATGCTATTACTGGTTTGGGCTAATAAAAGTACCCTGTGATGGCGTTTCTGATTGCATTATATTTTCTCAAATCTCTCAGGTCATGTTGGACCCAAATCCAGTTTGGAGGCCATCAGCTAAAGATTTGGTTGAAAATCCAATTTTTGACAAGGCCCTGAGAAAGGGACGAGCTTAGGACAACCACGATTGCCTTTTGTAGAGATTGGAGTGTTGTATGCGTCATTCATTTGCATCAGCCGGCCCTGTAAAACAGGCAAAGTGAAATTCGTGAATGACAAATTTTGTAAGTATAAATTATTCCTCTAAACTATGCACCTAATTTTCCCATTTCTTCGGTGCATATTTTGTTAATCTGGAGGAAATCTGTGTCATGTACTCACGCTTATGTGCTGCTGCTAATGAAGGCCTAAATTTATTGCCTGCATTGATCGCTAATTCTCTTTACTCGTTAAGAGACATTAATTTGTAAGGATGAAGGATGATTAAGACATAAAGCCCCAGAAATTGATATTAAAACATGGGGGATATAAACTGTAGCTACAGATATATAGGATAGTGAACTAGATAACTCTGTTGTCTCAGCTACATGTTTGACAAGATCTTGTAGCCGTTTATATGAGAAAACTCTAATCGCAAAATCCAAAATATATACATTATTTTCCCAAATCATATACCTAATTATCATAGGTGTCAAGACGATCTACAATATTTTGTAGCATCTAAGTGACTAGTTTTCGATGGCAGACAGAAAACACGTAGAAGTTTTTGTCTTTGAGTTGGAATATCTTTCCGAGACCCAAGAACAGTAGTCAACTGGATAATTGTGTTATGTCGGCAGCATGTTCAAAATAGGAAAATGCCACCTTTATACTAGAGAGG